GCATGTAGAAATAATATGGGTCTGTCACTTACTTGCCATTAGCTGAGCCAGGGGAGGCCACACAGCCTCTCAGAGTGGCCGCTGTGGGCTTTCCTAACTGCTCTCGTGGGGAGCACTGAAAAGGTGGAGAACTTGAAGATCTTTGTCTCCACTGGCTGCTTAGTCCATAACAATCGGATCGGAGCAGGCAGGCAATGTCCGTTCTGGGCTTTGTGGATGAATGAGGCTGTTGTTTACCTGCTGCAGATTTAGTCACGGGCCTATAAACGTCTCCAACACTGTTCACTTGAACGCAAGCAGGAGTATAGGCAGATGGAAGTATAGACGATGGCAATCTTTTCTTCTCCCCCTGCATTTCTTAGAACTGCTCCATGGCTCTTTAGCTTTGTTCTTCTTAGAGGCATTTAGAAGAGCGACTCTCAGTGGGTGAGAAGTGTTGGGTGTTGCGTGGTCTGTGAAGCCCAGACTTTCTTCCATAGCTGCTGCCATCACAAGTGATGACTTTCCTTCCATCCTTTGTCTTAGCTGTGATGAAGACGTATCAGCTGTTGAAACGCGGCACTTCAACCTTGAACGTGATTTCTGCATTTGAGTCCTTTGCAGAGTCAGTGTGAACTGATCTTCATAGCCTGAAGTCACAGAGCAGATTTTTCTGCAGTGTGCTGGGCAGTCGGCAGACATGTATTGACAGACTGCAGCTTCAAAGAGTGCCTTCAACTGTGGGGAATCAGCGAGTCTGTTTTAGAAGCCCTGTGTGAATTTGTAAACCATCATACCTTCCACCTTTGGGAGGAATTCATTCTCTCTCTCTCTCTCTCTCTCTCTCTCTCTCTCTCTCTCTCTCTCACACACACACACACACACACACACACACACACACACAAATAATGAAAAGTTCGACGATGAAGCATATTTGATAGGAAAACATTAATTATTTTTCTCTTATTGGAACACATTATGGCCTCAGATCATAAATAAGAAGCTATATTTTAAAAGGAAATGATTTTCTAAAATCTACAACTGTGTTACTCTTAAATGATTTCATATCATATAGCTTACCTCTAAATGGAATACTAAAAGGTTCTAGACTTTAAATTTTCAATAATTCACTTTGTCCAAATAGGACCAAAACATTTATTTTTGCATACTTTAGGATTCGGCAGGACTCTTGAAAGCCTTTGAATGCCAAAAAGCCAATGTTTTTATACTGTTTGAAACTGGTAAAATGCTAACACGTGACATGCCAGTCAATAATTAACAACACAGTTGATCCACCCACTTGATAGAGGTTTTATTGGTAAATCGAAATGTGTCTGGCTAGCCAGATACTGACTTTAAGAATGACTTTCTGGACTGCCTGGTGGCATTTCTAGAAAGCCTGGTGACCATGCAGGCCTGACCACCAGGGTGTGGTCCTGGAAGCTGCCTCCACAGAGCTGTCCTCTTTCTGACTTTCTCCGGGTGTCCTGGCATGGCCACACCTCCTTCACGTCCACACATATCATACACAGAATAATAACAGTTTTCAAATGACTGTAAATGATTCTGTTTTTATAGTTAATTACTGGCTTTGGTATCTGTCACCTTCTCTTGGGGGTTAATTATCTTAGGGACAATTTCTAAATTCTTAATGAGTCTAAGTCAGCAGTTTTCCAGCCAGAAGCCTCCTAGCCTTAGCTCCAGGGCATTGGGCTGAAAGTTGATTAAATAAAAATAATGCTTATCATTTTTGTAAAGAAATATAGTTTAGGAGAATTTTTTTCTTTTTATAAATTAGAAAAAGTATCCCAAGATTTCTCAATATCTGACATTTGCAAATACCTTTGTTGGTGACTAAAACTTGTAAGAACAGCTTCATTTCAGTGTGGATAAATGGGTTATTGATATTGTTGTATGTATTTTCTGCCTGTATATATATTTTAGGTGTTACTTAACAATTGCGTGAAAGTTTGTTTTACATTAAAATTTGTGGTTTGGGGGCTAATGACGATTTTTGAGGTTTACAAATATTTCCTGATGTATAGATGATACTGAATCTCGTTGTAAGTCCCTTTACTATTTTACATAATGTTTCAGGGTTACCACTAAACTCCTTTGAAAGCAGAACGGAGGAAAGGCCAGCTCTCCCAGCAGTCATCTGTAACCACAGCAGCGCTGGGAGGGGGGGGTTGGAGGGGTGGGGAGGAGGGGGGGGGTGAGGTGGGGGGCTGGCCGCTGACACAGCTTCTGTCCGCTTCCGGCAGCTCCAGGGGGTCTGTAGTTCCAGTGACTTCAGTAGCTCGTGAAGCAAGGAAGACAGCTGGGAGGTGTAAAGGGCCAGCCAAGTTTGTGAACCTGACATGCATGTGTGTGAGACGTGCAGGGCTCGTGTGTGTGACGTGCAGGGCTCATGTGTGTAAGACCTGCAGTGCTCGTGTGTGTGAGACGTGCAGGGCTCATGTGTAAGACGTGCAGGGCTCATGTGTGTAAGACATGCAGTGCTCGTGTGTGTGAGATGTGCAGTGCTCGTGTGTGTGAGACATGCAGGGCTCGTGTGTGTGTGAGACATGCAGGACTCATGTGTCTAAGACGTGCAGTGCTCGCGTGTAAGACATGCAGGGCTCATGTGTAAGACATGCAGGGCTCATGTGTGTAAGACATGCAGGGCTCATGTGTGTAAGATGTGCAGGGCTCATGTGTAAGACGTGCAGTGCTCGCGTGTAAGATGTGCGGGGCTCATGTGTGTGAGACGTGCGGGGCTCATGTGTGTATAAGACGTGCAGGGCTCTGTTGTTTGCTTGTCAGTAGCTGAGACAGGGCTCCTTGGTTAGGGAGCGCAATGCTCATGTCCCACATGGGTGCTCATGAGTGGAGCCACTCTCTGAGAGGTGCACATTGGATCCTGAAGACCGGGAACCGGGGTTTGCTTGTGCCGAGCTGCTTGTTGCAAGGACCTGGAGTGTCGCAGAGATCAGAGCTAGAAGTGAATTCCATTAGGGGAGATGCCCTCGGAAAAGAACGTAGACAGGGCAGAGGCAGAGCATGGTGGAGAAAGGGTCAGATACACTGGATTTCCTCCAGTGGGTACCGGGCGGGATGGGTGGAATACGGCTGTAATGCAGCCCTCACCCTCCAGCCTGCTGCGGGTTGTCTGCATTGTCAGAGGAATACACACTGGACAGGGGTATTGAGCCTGGATCAGTGAAGCGGCGTTCAGCTTTCGGTCAAAAGTTTTGCGGCAAAGATTGTGCCCACGTTCTACTTCCTGGGTATTTTGCCTATGCTGTACGTCAGACTTAGACCTATGTGTGGTGTCATTTGGCTCACATTTTCCAGATGAGCAACTTTTTAATAAAATGTGTAATGTCCTAGTGCCACTCGCAACCTTTGGCCCCTCATCTGCTTCAGTCAGGGGTCTTATGTTTCTCAAACAGCGTGTTCAGCTCAACTCCAGTTTCCCCCCAGTATTCCCATCAAGTTAAAGCCAAGAGTCACTCTAGTCCCTAATTCTCTCCATCTATACGTCTAATCCAAAACCAACTATCAGTTTCTGCTTTATGTGTCTCCTGCCTGTGTCCCTGTCCGCCGCCTCTGCTCTGGTCCTGGCGGGGACCCTGGCTGGCCTGAATTACCAGGTACCCTCCTAATTTCCTCTCTGGTTTTCTCAATGCTCCCCTCTTCTGAGACATTCTCCACATGCCTACTGAGTGTTGTCACAGAAGTGAGATCATTCTGTTCCCTGTTTCAAACCCTTTGTACTTAAGGTGAAATTACACAAAACCCAGGGTACATGGTGCCAGGTGCCCTGCCAACTCTCTGCTTTCCCATGCCGCCCTTGCCTTCAGTGTCCTTGTCCCCAGCCATTTACATGGCCAACTCTGTTTATCTGTGACACTTCTGTTTAACGTACTGAGCCTCTCCTTTCAGAAAGACATGGTACTCCTTGGTTTGGTCCGTAAGTGACAGAAGGAATGGCTACTGTAAACCCGAGGCCAAGATGACGACAGGTTAGAATCAGAGTGACTTTTAAGGCCATGAGACTTGCTGATAGGGGCTGTCCACAGACCCAGATATGACCATTCACACATGTGAAATCAAATGGGACTCTATGAGAACTAAACGTCTCATTTAGATTTCAGATGTATTTAAAATAGATAGTAACGTTGGCTCAGCTCGGCGAGAGATCATTACGCTCAGTGACCAGCATGCATGTGCCCATGCCCCGTTTCCCCCTGGGCTGGTACTGTACCTAGTAAAGAGCGTGTGAAGTTCAAGGGCGGTGCAGCAGGCGGATGCCAGCTGTCCCACTTGGGCACTGCACTGCCCGTCCACAGGAAACTTCAAAAGCAGAATAGAAGCCTTTGCATTCTAACTGGCTGACACCTGCAGACCCTTGTGACTTTCCTGTTGACCAGTGGTGTTTGTTTGTTGGGTTTTTGTCTTGTTTTAAAGTCTTGGATAGCAGAGTCTCAAGCATGGCATTAGGAGGTGGCTTTCCATATTAGTGTAATCGAAGGTCAAAGCCAGTCCATATAGCTGAATTCTAATTTGACACATGAAGAAAAAGGAATGTGATTGCTCCTTTGTTTCTGCTGCTGAATTTAATGCTGCCCTAGTTTTGGGTTTAAAAAAAAACTTGTGGCCGGGCGGTGGTGGCGCACGCCTTTAATCCCAGCACTCGGGAGGCAGAGCCAGGCGGATCTCTGTGAGTTCGAGGCCAGCCTGGGCTACCAAATGAGTCCCAGGAAAGGCGCAAAGCTACACAGAGAAACCCTGTCTCGAAAAACCAAAAAAAAAAAAAAGAAAAAACTTGTTATATCAGTGTTCTCACTCAAGGGTGTGCCCTTTCAACTTTAGCATATGGAAACCACTCGGTCAATATAGATAGGTCTTCCTTGGCCTTGACAAAGCAACAGTACATTGCTTTCTTACTTCCATGTAGGATGTTTTGAAAGCACCAACCATAAAGATACTTGTTTGCTGTTGCTCACTGGTTTTATTTTCTCTTCTCCTTTTTCTAGGACTATGACAGTTTTTTTGAAGCAAAAGAGAGCAACACAGTCTTCTCATTCTTGGGCCTGAAGCCTCGGCCAGCGTCCACGGTAGGTTAACCTTCTGCACACAAGGCAGGCTAACGCTCTGTACTCCTGCTCTGGCGTCCACGGTAACGAACCCTCTGTACTATCGCTTCAGGGTTTAGCCTGCTGGAGTGTACCTTGGGGGTGGGTGAGAGGGGCGCATAGCTACTCTCCTCAAGTTCAGTCTCTCGAGTAAATATAGACCACAGCGGTAAACACAACATTTTTAATTCTTTTAAACTCAAATTTTTCACTTCTTTAAATCAGAATATTAGTTTACTTTTAATTTATACCTCTGTTCTTGGAAGAGGAATTTAAGGTAGCAAAATAGGTAGCTAGTTTCTATTTAAATTATACATTGACATTGCATTTTCTCCTGTGTCTGGTTCTAACATTTGTAATTCGTTTGGTCCCAGATTGAAAATATTTGAAAAACATTACATCTGTACTGAACATGTACAGCTTTCTCTTGTCCTTATTGTTGTTGGTTGGTTGGTTGGTTGGTTGGTTGATTTTGAGACAAGGTCTTTCTATGTCTGACTGTCATGGAACTCATTATGGAGATCAGGCTAGACTTGAACTCACACAGATCCTCCTGCCTCTGCCTCCCAAGCACTGGGCCTTCCTGCCCTTATTTGTTAGATAATACAGCCTAAGACCTGTTGGCGTAGATGTCCATTGTTCAAAGCGTCTCCAGGAGGGCAGATTGCATGGGTGAATTGCAGGTGCTGTGAACTGGAGAGACTGGAGAATCCTGGGGTTCCAGCGGGGATGTGAGATGGACCCCCACACCCGGGTGCCAAGGAGAGGCAGTTTTATAAAACAGCAGAAGCAAAGCCACATTTGAAGGCATCTCCAGAATGAAACAAAAAGAGATCTTGCATGCGGTTCCTAAACCTAATATTTTCAAAGCCTCTTTATTGAGTCATATGCCTTTTGGAAAACATGAAGAACCTATTTGTCTTGTGCTAAGACTTAGAAATAATGGGTGTTTCCACAACCATGTAAAGCACTTTTAAAGATTTACTTTTAAAAAAAAATACTTATCAAATAAGTTAATAGTTTGGTTACTTCATTTAAAAACACTGGTTTTGTGATTAGAAAAGTAATTTAGGCTTATTTTTTTAAAAAATTGGAAAGGTGTAAATATATATAAAATAGACTATTAAGATCACTACTCAGGAGGTGGGGATGGGAAAAAAAAAAAAAAAAAAAAGATCACTACTCAGAACTGACCACATTGACACTTTTCCATTTTTCCCTACAGTCTTTATATACTTAGTAATTGAGGCTTGGCTGCAGCTCAAATTGAGCTGAATTCTAAAGTGTCTATTTTTAACACAACTGAACCTGCTGTGCATTATGGAAACTTTGTAAGTAACGGGTCCTTTGAGGCTGCCTGGGATAGGCCAATCTCCAGAGTACCTGTGGGAGGAAGGCAGAGGCCTTCAATAATAGAACTCCTCCAGCAGCACCTGGGAGCAGAGCTACTGTGAAAACGCTTTGTTTCAGCATCCACAAGCCTGCAGATGGGTTGTGGGTGGTTCCTATGCACGGGCTTTTAACAGAGGCTCTCCTACACAGAAAGTATTTACAGGTTCTGAAAACCATTTTTAGACAAGTCAGACACTGGAATATTTGTTAGGAAAATTAGGTTATTTGTATAAAATATTTCACCCAAAGATACTAAATAATCCAGATTTAACTTCAGAGAACGGGGTGGGGGTAGGGGGAAGCCTGGGGCAAGGATTACCTCATGGCAGCGGGAACCCAGTAGGTACCATTGTCTGTGTGGAAACCTCATAGAAAATGTTATGTGCGTGCTGTCTTGTTCTCATGTTCTCCAAAGGTACAGACTCCTTAGAGATTCAGCAGGCTCTTGTTTATTAGTTGGTTGGTTGGTTTGTTGTTTTGTTTTCTTTAGATAGTGAGGCTGGGGCTGTAGTTCAATCATTGCAGGCTTGCTTAGCATGCATGATGTCCTGGGTTTCATTCCAGCACTGACAGAAGCCCCTAACCCTAACTCTGCAGAGGTGGAGGGGGCGGGATCAGAAATTCAAGGTCATCCTCAGTTCTACAGCGAGGTCCTGGCCAAACTGATGAAGCTGAGCATAGTGCAACATCCATTTAACCCTAACCCTGCAGAGGTGGAGGGGGCGGGGATCAGAAATTTAAGGTCATCCTCAGTTCTGCAGCAAGGTCCTGGCCAGACTGGGCCGCTTGAGACCCTAGTTCAAAACAACAGTCACAGACCCCACAGTGTGTTCTTCTTAGCATTTGTAAAGAAAGTTGTGGTCTTTGCAGAGTCCATTCTCACATGGTGGTTGATCCGTGTGATATTTGGTCTTAGTTCCACTGAACCTTGTCCCTCAAAAGGCAGAAGGGGCCTGGAAACAGTTCCTAGACAGGAGCCCTTGGGACAGAGTACACAGCCCTGGCATAGTACCTGTGCCACTCGGGCACTTGAACCATCAGAGCCTCAGAGCACAGCAATACACATAGTTAGTTCATCTTCACCTGAGAGGAGTGGGAAGCAAGAACTAGTAATCCCGTCCCTCTTTTTAGTTGCTTACTTTTCACAGTGGTTATCATTCATTAGAAAGTCTGCAGTTGAGGGCTTGGACAAAATGGCCTAGATGTGATACAGCAGAAGTGACCCTGTCCTCTCTCCCACCACCTGCAGCAGGCACACATAAAAGACGAAGCCAGGAAGCACAGAAGCCCCGTCAGCATCTGTAATTGCCCCCCACAGTAGGTAGGAGTATGTGTTGATGGCCCACAGACTCTGGCTGGGCTTCGCTCCAAAGTGGACAGAGTAGGGGAAGGACAGGCATCACTAAATGGGGACCAAAGAGCCACACTGGCTCAGGACACATTGTTTATCTTGCATAAGACTTTTTAAAGTAAAAGGTAAATGGATTGCTAGCATGTAAAATTAAGGTTTTCCACTTCCATCAAAGCTGGGAGAGATGGAAGTACCAGGAAGGGAAACAGAGTGACAGGACTCAGCAGTGATTAGCCTCCATGGTGTCTCCCTGACTAAGGAAAGGGGGCCCATTCACCAGCAGATTTCAGGTAAAAAGCCAGTTTGTTATTCTCCAAGAATAGACTCCAAGCAGGTCCTGTTATGGAGATTTCTGCATCCAGGTCCCCACCACTAGGGGCAATTTTCAGAATACGTAACAACCGATTGCACTGCACACTCTCTGGCCGTATCTGGAGCAAATTACAGTGGCTTCTTGGTGGCAGTTGTTTAATTGGTGGGCGGACAGAGTGGCGCTTGGACAATTGGGATGGTGATTGTTATGAATGACATGGCCATTCTGATGTCGTCCACCCAGGATCACCCTTAACCAGCACCTCTTTGTGCCCCTGCGAGGTCACAGCAGTGTTCAGAGGAAGGAGGCTCAGTGGCTGCTGAAAACTGAGGCTTTTCCTTCCACGTTTGCAGGTTGGATGGGTATGATTGAAATCGAGGTTCTGGCTTCAAAGTCAGGACTTGCACCTATCAGCCACGGAGGGGGTGACTCATGGCCTCCCCATCTCTGTTCCTGCCATTAAAAAAAAAAAAATACTGCCGAAGGCCAGTTTTCTTGTCAATGAAGCATAATAACTGTGCCTTTCTCCTTCTTCTGTTTAACAGGCTGAGCCTTAGAGATGGAGAGTAGAAGGTGATGGAGTTGCATTTTGGAGCACCCCGGTACTCGACACATACCTGCTTACCTGATGCATCACTGTGACAAAGCCACATGCACAATCGGCCACTTCGCTTGACCCGGAGAAGGTGTTTTTGGTGGACCTGGGAGTAATAGGGACTGCATGATTGTTCTAAGCTAATCAGGGCTCTGGTGGTGGATTGTCTTGTTTTCTCGTTTGTTTGTGGTTGCCTCGCTCACAGACAGGAAGTACTGTCTGTCCCCTGTTATAGTCTGCTTCCTTAATGACTGGCGGGTTAACTGGGCAGCACCATCGGGGAGAAAACGTCGGATCTGCCCTCAGTCTTCCTGGACACCAGTATTGCAGAAGCCCACTCCTCTTTACGCTGCCTGCATCGCATCCTTGAAACCAGCTTGCCAGGACGACAAAAAGTCTTTGAATCAGAGAGAAGAAAGGCAGTGCTGGTTGGCAGAGGACTTTGAGGGTTCTCACTGCGGAATCACAAATGTCCCTTCTCTGGTACTTTGTAAGAACGCCTGCAGGGGACGTTGGATGCTCTCGACTCCTTTCTGTAGTGGAAACCCGCACCCCTATAAACTCTCCAGGCTCTCCAGGCTCCTACAGGTGCTTCCAGAACCACCATTGCAATATCGCCCTGTCACAACCAAGTCACGGGACAGAAAAAGATTGCTGCGGAACACGTCTCCTTCTTTGTCTCTTGCAAGGGGGACGTTTCACTATATGCCTAAGACCGCTTGAGAGATGTATTTTAAGAAGTGCACTACGTAGATAGTAAGTTAATAGAAAGTTTGCTCTGTCTGTATGCAAAGGCATCTTCAGCTCTTGTAGTTTAATTACACATGCACATATATTTTTAAATGCAGCTCCCCTGAGTAACAGCTGCTTGTTCTATTTTGTGAAGGGATTATATTTTTGGAGAAAGGAAATGCTCGGCTAGATATATTTTGTGAACCGTTGATGAAGTGCATTAGGAGGCACCGGGACTGCCGGGGCTGGGTTTAATGGTAGAATACTTGCATAGCACACTCATGCTGCTGCGCTCAGCTCCAGTACCATGGAAAGGAAAAACAGACACCACTGGCTAGTGTGCTTTCCCGTGTTACTTACCGCTGTCCCCTCATTGTCTTTGTTCCCCTTCAGACCAGTTCCCAGCCTCAGACATTTCAGAGTAACACAGACACGCACTCTTGCCTGATGTATGAGTCCAAGCGAGATTTCAGAGCAGCATAGACAAGAAAGGAGCTGTCTAGAGAGTAGTCCTGGGCCCTTCTTAAGGAGCAGAGTCTTCTTGCTCTTTGGGTGGACACTGGTGGACACTGACCAGTCCTCAAACATAGGGCTAACCTTGACTAGGATAAACTCGGGGCTGGCTGGACTCTCCCACCTCCCCCAGCAGCCTGCCGCAGGACCTTTCACTCTGATTCTGAGAAGGGAATGTTTGAGAAATTGACGGAGCAAACTAGTGGCCCTCTCTGCCACCCCCACCACGAGCTTTGATAAATGTTGACTGTTCTGCGGCATGTTTTTTTGAAAGCTGAAGTTGAGATCTCAGCCTGAGATGTGCAGTCCTGTTACAGCCGGAAGAAAGGACAGCTTTCTTCATGAATGGACCAGATGCTTGATGTACAATTTTCTCTCCAGGGAAAGTTTGTCAAGTTGTGGATATTACTGGCTAGCTGAGCTTAAACAAGATCCAGGACAACCATTTGATAAATCCCAGGGACTTCCCAGGGTTTTTTTTTTTTTCTCCTTTTTCTTCTAAATGGATATTGTGCTTGAGTTTGTGAGTCTGCTGACAAGACACATTTCTATTTAAAACAGAGCGATCTTAAAACTTATCTCATGAAATCAGCCCAGCTTACATTGATTGAGTCTATTCTTACCAATGAGTGCCAAGAACCAGTTTGGTAAAGTGAAGTCTTAGCATGTTTTGGATTGTAAGAGCAACATCATACTTGTGAGACAGAAAAGCTACCAAGATTTGTCTTATAACTTTTTGATTGGTCGTACTATACCAATATGACCACGTTAAACACACTGAATAGATGGTGTGCTTACAATTACTATCACAGTTGCATGTCATTTTCTTGCCGTGATTCTTTTGCGGGCACACTGGAGAGTCAGCAGAGAACACAGGTGATGAGTGGTAGTTCCTTCTTTCAGTGGCTGGAAGCCCAGGATATGGAGTTGACCGTAGTTCCCAGGCATACACAGGTGGTGTGTGTAGAACATACTGGGTCTGTACTTAAATGCCTACCAGTCTGACTGATGAACTGACTTTTCTCCTTCCTTCTTCCTTTCCCTCTTTCTATTGGCTGTTGCTCGGGATGGAGTCTTGCTATGTAGACCTGGAACCTAGTCCTTCTGTCTCCCAAGGGCTAAGATTGCACACTTAGCTGAAATAGTGTTCCTCTTATTCCCTTTAATTGGCTGCCCTAAATTTGGTCGCCACCACCTTCAAAGCCCAGGAAAGAAGTGCAGGCACGGCTGTAATGCCAGGGCCTTTCAAGGCAGAGTTGACTTCCTGGTGGAACCGAGGAAACGGGCTGCTGACCACCGAATGGTGCCATTTTAACCTTAGGTGAATGTGGAACGCCATACTGCTAGGTGTCTGCAGACCAGAAGAACATTTAGTTCAGGAAATGCTTTGCCAAATCCTGGGGGGTTATTAAAGTCTAAGAGGAGAAAAAGAAGACATTTTACCCTTAGTTGCTAATGTATTTTAGTTTTGTTTTGTTTTATAAAGTTAACCCAACATTTACATTTTTATATTGTGTGAATTTAGCCTTCTAAATATTTTTCTTTTAGTTGAAAGGTACCAAAGGCTTTTATGTTTTGTTTGGTTTGTTTGATTTTTATTGTGGGGTTTGTTTTTTCTAGGAATACTTTGATACAGGTTTGTCCCCGAGCATCTGGGTCTGCTTCAGTCTGTGTAATTGTTTTGATTTCTGTTTGTATCTGTCTCTCAAGGCATTGGTGAAATCTCAGATTTTATATTCTTCATTAAAGGAGAATAAATTCCAGAAAACATGGCATTCCGAAACTGGAGTTGTTTCTTCCTAGTCTCACTCCTTTTTCAACTTCTAGTCTGGAGTTAGCTGGATCCTTTCGGTTTCTCCAGGAAGCTGTTTCTGCTGCCATCCATGAAAGGATTAGACTGGTACAGACACAGAACTCATGCAGCCACTCACTTGAGAAGGATGCATGTGGTTCTGCCCGGGCACACTGGGAGGCAAACAGACCCCAGCCCGCCCCCCACGCAGTCCATTGCTGAGGTGGGACTTCCTCAGCCACTAGTGTGTTCTGTGGTCTCCCAGGCACACTGAATCCACTCTAGTGGTTTGTCCCATACTGGTTGCAGGAAACACCAGAGGTGGCCATGACTTGCCCTACTTGGGCCTCCTTTGAGCCACATTTGGAAGCAAAAGAAGGTGAGGGGGCGGGGGGGGGGGGGCTGAGGCTGGAACTCACCAAGAAACAATTTCGGAACTTAAACACCAGGACAGATGGAGAGTGGAGGAGGGGTCGGTCAAAGGCGACAAGCTCTGAGCCGGCAGAAATGTGTCTACTCATGAAACCAAATCAGCAAATAGCCCTGTTCTCCGTGTGACCCAGATTCCAACGGGAGGGTTTCCCAGCTCTAGACACACAGGCGAGACTAGCATGGCTGTCTTTCCTGCCAGCATGGATTAAGCCCTCACAGTGCAATGGGTCCTGACTGAGCAGCACAGGAGGATGAGGAGAGCAAAAGAAAGCAGCAGGCGGATACAGCAGCCGTCAGTGGCAGGCCAGCTAAGCGGTCAGGACTCAAGGCTACAGTGTGTCAGAGAAATGTTAGCGTTTTTTCCCTTATTAAAACCATCCCGACTTTTTAGATTGAACGACATGTGTACGTACACGCATATCTACTGAAGTATAAAGAGTAATAATAATCACCCTGTATGCCTGCTGCCTGCCTTACTGCCTTTTCCCCTCGGCACCCCGTGTGCCCCTCCCTGACCTTCTCCTTCTCCCTATTGAATAAAGGGGGCCTCACCCTGTATTTGTGTGATCGAAGCCCTTCGACCCTTTAAAGTTTTGTCTCCGTGTATGAATCCATAAGGAATAATAAACAGAACTAAACTGGATACAGGGTTTTTGTTTCGACCTTTTAATGTCCATTGCAATGGGAACTTTTCATGGTTAAAAAACATTCCACTAGATGAATACATAATCTCTTTTTCTCCAGTTGCTGACCATTGAGCATTGCTGTGAGCGTTCTTTCCTTTGACTTCTGGTGCACTGACACAAGAGTGGATCCACACCTTAAGTAGAGTTGCGGGCTGGATATTAAGAGCACACACCAGCCTTAAGGACGGAGTTAGATGGCTTTCTCCAGCTATAGTACCAGTTACAAAAATGCTAACATTTTTAGGACTACTGATCCTGACCAATCTGTATGATTGTTAGTCAAATTTGTGCTAAGTGTGTAGTTTAAAATGGATTTGGCTTTTTAAAAAAATGTTTATTATAGGGATTCCTATGTCAAACTTCTCAACTATTTGGATATGTTTTTAGTTATTAAATGTTGTGTTTGTATTGTTGGGGATTGAACCCAGGACCTTGCATATGCTAAGTAAACATTCTACCACTGAGACATACCTCTAGCCCACAAGTTAGCTCTTAAAGTGACAAGAAACCAGGAATAAAAAGTCTTCTGAAGCCATTTCCAGAAATGTGAAATGCACATGAATGTTTATTCTGTTTTCAGGAAATAAAGGTAAGTGTGCTGATATAACCTGTCTATCAGCCGTGAGATGTGTTCAGGGACATCTCTGCTCTAGGAAACTGTCATCTCTGAAAGTGTCTTTGGGCCCATCAGTTTGTTATTTGGCAGGAAATCAGTGCCATCAATGCTATGATTCCGTTTGCTTTCCCAGATTTCACCAGAAGGAAATCTTTATGCGGACTTCATGCTCATGTGTGCATGTTTGTTTAGGATGTCAGCATACACTGGGCCTGTAGCAGTGGGCCAGACATGGTTTGACACTTGAAAGAACAGCAGAAAAATCTTTGCTAAGTCATGGAGGCGGGGGCAGGAGGGGTTGTATTGCTCTTGAGCTCAGCCTTGGATAACCCCTAGGCTGAGTAAAGATGAGCCACGCGATGCTGAGCATAACCCAGTGAATGGAAGTGGCAGCAGTTTACATGTGTGAAGAACTATGAGGAACCAGAATGCAGGCTTCGCTTCTTACTAAGGGACATGTTCGGCAGACTGGACACTGGTATTTTAAAGTGTATTAGCAAAGCTTATTGTAGTGACTAGAGCAAAAATTGAGAAGAACTCCTTAAAAAATAGACTTCCACATTGTTGTACATAATATGGGGCCCTGTAATAGTAAAAATCATCACCAAACCTTCCTCTAAAGAAGCTTTAGACCAAGTATCTGCAGCAGTGTTACTCAGAGCAAAGCTCTGCAGTTCAGAACGGTGCTGGCCACTGTACCAACAGGCCACGTGAGGCACTGATCCACTGTACCAACAGGCCACGTGAGGCACTGATCCACTGTACCAACAGGCCACGTGAGGCACTGAGCCCTCCCTGGAAATGAGCCCACTTGGGTTTGTGACATGGTTTGAAATAAAGATATTTCGGGTTTTATACTTAGTGTGAACATTTAAATGACCTCATGAATAATTTTTGTATTGGTTACACATTAAAACAATAGTCTGAATTTATTTAATTGGGTGGTAAGATGATCACTTGCACCCTTAAGTGCGGCCAGTGAGATATTTTAGATTACATATGTTGTCTTCATTGTTCTCCTAGACAGCACAGCTTTACATCACTCTTTTTGCTTGAATTTACAATAGAGAAATAAATACATTTGAAATATTTTTAGGTCTTGGTAAAATTCTTCATTTACAATACTGAAAGAAAATGCGAACATCTTTGGGAACATAATTTTCTGATACAAAATGACTTTTTCTCATTCTGCCTTTTGCCCCCATAGCTCGAAGCATTTTTGTAGTGAAGGAAGAGTCAATTCTTCAATTCTGGACACCAGCAGTGCCATAGGTTGGCAGAGTGCGCCACATCTCTGTCCAGACTCCCCCGCCGCCACCCCGCTTCATCTTACAGAACTCATGTCTGGAGTTGCCCTGTGTCTGAACTAGGTCATGGTGGCATTTTGTATTTTCTGTTTTCAAAGGGGGATGTAATGACTCACACAGATGCCAGCTGTTATCTGCAAACCTGTGGTAAATGTTCCTGGGACTTAGCCCGCAGTTCCTCAGTTATCTGCAAAGCTCACAAAATATATAGATAATCTGCCTTTTGGATATTTCTTTCTGGTCATATCGCCAAAGATTAAAACAAACTGCCCAGGGTTTTAAAGTACCTCTTAGAATACTAATTTTGAGGTAAACCTACGGTACTCTTGCCATTAAAATAATTGAGTGAAGGATTTTCTTCTTTTTTATTACTTTGGGAATCCTCCCTGTAGTGAGAGTGAATTGGTTGAATAGTTCTTGCAAGCCTGAGAGATGCCAGCCGTCTGCAGCCCATTCAGCTACTAGTCCTGTTGCTTTGGGGTGCATAATCTGCCATGTTAATGAATTGCATACCTGTGTAGGATTTCACTTTCCTGAGTAGGGAGAATAACACGTTCAAGATAACATTCTTGCTTATCCGATTTATGTTATTAATGTTATTATCCCACTTCTTTTCACTTTTATCTGTTTAACTTCTCTGATTTTTCTGTTTCATGGCATGTACTAATAAAATCACTAGGTTGATATACATAATGTGGGGTCTGGGAGGGTCAAAAACTTGGCTCCATGGTGGATGCCAAGGACAACAGCCTTGCCTGAAGGCCAGCAGTTTGTCAGCAAGAGGGCTTACCCTTCCTTCTCTCTCCTCCCATCTTTGTGGTAAACCACTCTTGATGTGCTGTCAGAAATGTGGGCACCAGCTTAGCTAAAGTGACAAGGTGTGACAGGAGCCTGGGAATCTGAGTGACTCCAGCTGCAGCTCCCCCCTACTGGGTGTCCCAGTAAGTGTTCACTGGCATTGGACAGCATCCTAATCATGGGTGAGGAACTGAATATTGTGAGGTTAGTCTGCCTGCCCAAAAGATGGGTTGGCAAACAGGATTTTAGGTGCTAAAATGACTATAACAATCACAGCTGTGGACAAACTTGGGAACAACAGCAAGAAACTCCTTCCCCGGTCATGGCTCACCCAGGCACCATGGCTCCTCTCAGTGCAGGAGAGGCTAGTGCGGCCGGCTGTCCTGGCCAGCTTTACTCGAACTTCAATGTACAAGTAGTTACATCTGCACTAAGTGCAAACGAAAACTGCTGGAATCTAGACAGCTGCAGGAAGGCTGCCCAGCCGGTACTTAAGTGACTTGGAGGAGGTGGCTACCTCAGGAGATGTCCTTTCAGCCAAGTGCAGAGGGTAGATGTTGGTCAAAGTCTGTTTTCTCCATCAATACCAACTGCTTACTAGTGGCTCTTTGTTGGTACTGTTTTCAATATGTTGTTGTCATTTACATTCTGCTGATTTGCCTGTGGTATTGGTATCACAGGGTAATTTGCATGACATGGCAGAGGAGAAAAAGAAGTCTCCAAATAAGGCATCCAGTAAAGCCTGAGAACCTGTGCTAAATCTCTCTCTCTCTCTCTCTCTCTCTCTCTCTCTCTCTCTCTCTCTCTCTCTCTCTCTCTCTCTCTCTCTGTCTCCTGTTATGCTGGAGTTGAGCCAGGGCTTTTCATACATGCTAAGCCGGCATTCCAGCTACTGTCACTATGTCCCCAGCCTTTAAAATCTTTTTTTTTTTCTTTTTTCTTTGTACCTTGGCTTTACGTTGGTGAACTTCCAAGAAAGGAGGAGGGAAATCAAGCACACCTTTCCTTCTTCCGGAATGGTGTAATCACCGGCTCATGCCCAGTTGCATTAGTCCAAAGACGTGCCCCTGCTCTTCTAGGATCGTTTTGTGGAGTTTGCCGATGGCAGGTCGAATGCTTACGTTTGCATGCTGTTATTGAACGTCGAGTGCCTTTGCTAACCCACCCGTGAGTATAAATGCTGACTCTATCTCAGACATTGCTCGCTGGTGTATTTAATTTTCCGTCCTTTGTCCTGCTTTTGGACTCAGCCATTACTTTTGTGTCTTCTTTTTACTTGCGGGCCATAAATTTGTCACAAAGCTGGCTGTCAGATGAAATGTGTGCGGTATTAGTGTGTGCAGCAGACTATTTGGTGACTCACTATATGGCCATGCACTAAGAAGTCCCGATTTTTTTCTTACTTTATCACTGGAACTTTGATTCCTTATCTTTTTTTTTTCCTTCCCGCTGACAGCTATAAGTTTGAAATATGTTATGTTAGTCTAAGACCAATTAGGAGATAAGAATCACACAGTGGTTTAAACAAGGGAGGTGAATATAAGGAATTGCTGAACTCCGAGGGGGGAAAAATAGCCTGTCAGATATAAGAACTACCCCACCCCACCCCGGGGCTGGTGGAGACTATCCAAGAAGGGAAAATGTGAAGGGAGGCTGTCCTTCAGATGTCTTTGGAGGAGGTCCAGTTGCAGCCCCTGGATGACAGGAAGTTTGCTGGGCAAACAGGAAGCAACCCGTGGAGTACAGGCTAGGGCCTGCTGAGTCAGAGGGCAGCCATGCTTATAGAAGGAGCAGGTGACTGTGTCAAAAGGAGCCTGGCACAAGTCGTGTCCGTGCCAAAGGGGTTATCAAAGGCCAGGCCAGCGGTTCAAGGCCGCTAAGGGACCATGTGTCTTGCAAGCTACCCACACTGCTGACCTACTGTGCAGCAGTCAGGCACAGTAGGAGAATCCTTTCCCCCCAGGGTCCCTCCAATGTCCTCTACTGAGAAGGCTAGCGGCCGTCGGAACCCTCCAAGAGACGATGCTTAATGGAATTCTCTCTGTTACCACAGAGCAGCCATTGAAAAGTGAATTTGGAGCTAAAATAAAATAAATCAGTGACTGAGACATGTCATAAAGGGGTTCTGTAAAAGGAATCTCTTAGTGTCACCTGGAGTCAGTCATGTTTGTTAACAGCTGAAGGATGGGCTTGCCAGTACTTTGTAAGACCTGGGTAATTTAAATAAAAATGTCTT